TTTCTGTGATACATTCTGGTGTGTATAAAAAGCCTGGTGGTAGCACAATGCTGGAGTCTGTGTAACTGATTTTATCAAACTTAGGACAAAAAAAGTAATTTAAGCAACACTTAACTTTGTAAAGTAATTTAAACAAACACTTTGTTTGGCAAATGCTGTTCTGCCGAAATGCCTCCCCAGTAATTAGTGCTGATACCCAATCTTTGTCTTTGACCAGCCTCTTCTGGGCAAGAATGGTATCTTGACTTACATGCTCAGATAAAGACAATTTAGGTGCAATACTGTAACTTGTAGGAACAATAGGCTTTGTTCCAATTTGAATGTTGCTTTCTACTTTGAAGATTTTCTGCCCAAGTAAAGGTGTTATAGATCATTTTCTTTCTGGTTTAGAGACTTTGTTGGAGGCCCAAAGGAGACTTGAAGGACTTCCATTTACAGAGTATAGTCCATCCATAACAATATTCCAAAAAGCAGCAAAAAGTGTKTCTTGTAGTTTCATGTACAGTGACRGAATCATTTTCTRTAATGTTACTGGTATGAAGTGTGAGGAAACTTAAGCAGAGCTTTTTGMTAAAAAAGTTTCTTACTGTGTCCTGAACTCCTTGTTATACATTACTGAAAAGTCTTAGTATGGAGAGACATAAAGTGGAAATTCTGTTTTGTTATCAAGAAGTTTGACTTCTGACAATTTTTGAAACAGGATCTGAAGAATCTTTTCACCCGCTGCAATTAGAATCTACTCTGAGTGATGACTGTCAGAATGCTGATCAGCCAGAGGATCTTAACCCTGTGTTACACAGACCTTTTGAACAAACACATGGAATTAGACACAGAAGCAATGAGAATTGTGTTTCATCTGCAAGAGAGTATGAAGAGCTGTCAAGAGGTATGGGATGCATTAATCTCCAGTGTTCAGTGGAAGATCTGCAAAATGAAAGTCTGATTGAACTGGAAGAACAAAAATCGTTTTATCAGCTAGATAYCACACCAGTTACAATGGATGAAACTTTCCCTCAACATTTACTAAAAGAGACTGTGTCTTCTGAACAATTACCTTTGGAAGCATTTGATAAAAAGTATGTAAAGCTTCCTGAAAACTCAGTTCATGTAGATGAAGTAAATAAAGCTGTGGAGCTGCATTCTCAGTGCAATATGAATATAAAGGAGCCAGTTGAAAGCTGTCCAGGACAAGAATCTTTGAGGGTTCTCAGAGAAACCAACTTGGAAGACTCAAATATCCATTTGCACTCTGCTGTACAACAGAGCAGTTCTTTACACCAAAGGCATGRAAAGCATTCTCATCCTGTGCCCAGAAGCTCATGTCATATCCCTGTCTGGGTGAGTATAACAGATTTCCAGAAGCAGGGGTTTTGTTGTTGCACAAAGTTATTTTAGACCTTTAATATCTGAAAGCTTGGCAAATGTGGATTTTCCAATTCTAGTTCCTGTTTCCTAGAGTTTTGCCCTACTCCTTCTTTCAGATCATAGCACTGAGATAATTGAGTGTAATAAGATAATTAGCAGTAGCTTAAATGAGCTGAGTTCCCACATTGGTTGGAGGAGCTGTAGCATCTGTTGCATATYCTTCTCTCATCATCAGTTGGTACAGCCTGTGCAGCTGGCTTGCATGGCATGAGTCTGTTCACCTCACTGAACAGCCCCTGGCCTCATTTAGAAGCCTGAAGGAGGTAAACAAATTAACCAAAGCATGATCAAACTTAGAGAAAAAGTGTTGATGTAGCTTAAAAAAAAATTGCCTTAGAACTAAGTGATTTAAACTTGAGGAGAGGGGGAGTTTCTGTAGCTGCTTAGTTGCTTTGGATTGTTTCAGTTTTGTGAATTCTGATACAGAAGTGCTATTTCTGTACTTCATTTACTGCTTGGGGCAGGTTTTCTTTCTTCTGTATGTCAAATGAGCTTCCTTTTTCTGACAWGTTGTTACTGTTGCTGAAAGTATTGGGGTTTCTACTTTTTTTCTTCACCAATGTCTTTTCTTTATTGTTTTGTAGGAGACTGAGTCAGGGCATGGTATTATGGAAGAACCTGAGCTGACTCTGATAAGCTCCAATGACATCAGCATTGTAGAATCAGACATTGAACATCGTAACCAAGAGCAAATGAAGGAGGATGCAATGGATAACCCAGCATGTGTGCATCAGTCTGAATGTAAYGTTTTTACTGAGGTGAGCATTATCTAAGGAGATTCTGTCTTGAACTTACTATTATTCACAATAAGGAGAGGCCTCATTGTAGCAGTTAATCCATGTTGCAAAACAAGAGAATGTTGGGTTCTCCAAGCTTTGTAATTGTTTTGGATCATCTTAGTTTGATGTTATGCTTTCCAGACAGATCGAATAGATTTTAAATTTGGGCTATTCCTTAGAATCACTACCTTATCATGTTGATGTAGATAGAATTCAAGAAGACTTGCTGCAAAAAAAAAAAGAAAACCATCTTGCTGGTGTTTGCAAGACTGAATTGTATCATATTAGTTGAAAACTTGAATGAAAGGAGAGTGTGGGATAAAATGAAAACACAAACTAAACAGGAAAAAGAGGCAAGATCCCTCATCTAGTGAGGATGGAGCCACACCAGGCTGACACAGCATTTTGAGGTTTATGGAGAAGATGAATCAGTTCTTCATAACTGCCAGGCTTAATTAGCCTGTGGTGCTTTTGCTGCTTGCTCATATAAAGCAAAGGCTGTGAGTTGCAGAGGGGCTGGGCTGAGATAATATTTTGGCTGCTGAAGCAGTAATGCAGAACCAAGTAATCTRTGTTAGAAGAACAGATTAGATTAAATCATGGCAAGAGGCATCTAGGGAATTTCTGAAAGTGTCTAAAGGGTCTTTATCAAGTAGTCCATACATGGGTGAAGTAGAGGTTGACAGCTGGAGGCTGTGGGGATGTGGATGCTGTGGTGGGTGTCGCCTGCCTCTGGGAAAAGAGGGGGAAAGGGAAAGCAGGAAAAGAGTGATGGGGAGAACTAAAGAGAACAGGAGGAAAGGAAAAGATTTTAAATTTGCAGT